ATTTTAGATTAAACAACAATGAACCGTAACAAAAATAAATTGATAATGTAGGATCGTAATGAAATGTTTGAAAAAAATAATTACAAGCAACAATATAATTAACAAATTAAAAAATATTAAATAAATTAGTATATAAAGTTTAGAGATTTTATCTTTTAAAAGAAATAAACAAACAAAAAATTGTTATTAGTAGACCAAAATACTATATAAATAAAATTAATTCAATTAATTTAAAATTTGATATATTAACTTTTTTATATTAGATTATACTATTAAATTAAAAAGGTAAATATATATTTATAATAAATTAATGAAAATTTTTAATAAAACAATAAATTAAAATAAACAAATTTTATTAAAAAAAATACAAAATATCAACTTTATATACAATATATTGTATTCATTACTATATATACAGTATATTTAAATATCAAATTAATATTAAACCTAATTTATATATTTTAATTTTGGTTTATAATTTTTTATTATAATTGATAGTTTAATTTTACTATATATAATTAAAATAAAAATATACAAATATATAATAGCGATAGTTTTAATCAAAGGTCAGTATATATCTCGTGTTTTGTTAAATACGAAGAATTTTTTATTAAAACAAGGAGTAATATAGAATGATTACCTAATTTCTATTGTGTATATATACTTATAAATGGGTAAAAAGCTTGAGTTTATTTACTATAAAGTTCATATATTTATGTGTATATATGTGCATTACTCAAACTTGAGGTGGACACGCTCAATGATCAGGCATTATCGCATTTATCGAATTTCAGCACTCACAGACATTTCATCACAAAATGCAGCATTTAAGATAAAAGTCGTTTTAAATTGTACGAATTTCAGCACCCACAGACATTTAATCACAAAATGTAACATTTAGGATAAAAGTTGGTTTTAATTGTACGAATTTCGGCACCCACGGACATTTCGTCACAAAATGCATTTATACACATGTTTAGCATTACTGTAATTAAATAGAAGGTGTGCTTAAGTTTTGATACTCATATGAAAAGATAAACAATAGTTTTGATTGTCTAATCCTGTCATTTCGATTTTACATAAACCCTGTGTTTATCGCGATGCGTCGTGCGCCCCTTGCTGTTATTTGCATCATTAACTGACAAGCACGATAATTATTTCACACTTGAATGAACTCTGGTATCGCTTATCAAGACAATTTCTCCGCGAGTGGCTACAAATTTTCCATGAACAATCATTGTTCGATTTAGATACTTTTTTTTTCAAACATGCATATTAAAAATTTCGATATAACCAATCTGTTATCAGTTGGTTTACAAATTACCCAAGAACAACCGATTGGTTTAAAAAAAATTTCCGCGAGTACGTAATTAGGCAAGCAAATTGGCGTATTTTATATAGCAACTGCATGTAAGTGTACTTTTAACTATGAAATACATAAACTCTATAGGAATTGTCGAACTTTAAAACAATGGGTTTTGACAATTATCGCTATGCAAAGGAAAATAGATTTTACAAGATACCGGAAAGGAACCGGTTCACCACGTAAGTAATGATAATGCAATTACACGTACTTCACAAACATATGCGTACTATATTTATTACACATCAAATTATATCGATATCGATATAGACAATGATAATTTCAGTGGAGGATCGGCAAAAAAAAAAAAAGAAATTTACTAAAGCAGGAATTCAGAAAGCGTTGCTTATTACATGACACGAGTGTCAAACACTATGTAAACTGTGGGGGGAGGCATTAAAGAATCGAGCAAAGCTTTTTGTGTAATATTGCGGAGAAAGGAAAATCGTTAGACCGATTTAAAAGATTCTATTCGGAATTGATTTTCTGCTTAAAATGAAAGTACATTAATGTATGCATTTCTCGAATTGTCCTTATAAAACCTTAAATTAGTCAAATCTATCATAATTTTTCCAACCAATTATCTACATTAATCAATTTAATCAATTTAATCAATGTGAATTACGGCAATCATGGAAATCACGGAAATCTCGAAAATCACACTTTTTAAATACCAAAAGAAACCTTTATTGATGCTGAAACACAAACACAGGAAAAATCTACCATATGGCAAAAGTCCATTGTTTATACAATCAAATGCGATACACTATTAATATTTTGACTTATTTCGTGATTTAACATAGTTGGTATATTAATTGATTATTGACTAGATTTAGCAGGCGGGATGATATATCTTAACAATATTAACAGGTGAATTTATGACAGACAGGTGGCTGTAAATGCTGCAGCATCGGCTTAACTATTCGTGTTAACATTTAATATTATGATTTGTAGATACGAATTGTAGATCTGCAAAAGCATGCAGATTTGAAAGTGGCTAATGTGGAGGAAGGCCAATCAATTTATGACATTAATTATTTTCAGGTGTGATTTGCAGTGTCATACGTAATTCAGATGACGAAATGTAAGAATGGATATTCTTTTTGAAGAAACAATATGAATGTTGAAATAATATTGTTCACCGCATCCGGTATGGTGGCGAGTTTCTTTGCGTAAACGTTTATATCAATATTGTAAAACTATCATATGCATTTACTCGTGTAATTTCGATACTCGTATCAACGTTTCAATTACAGAATTATATAACTAGCATATATACTTTGATATTTGATATTATATATATATATATGCTATTATATTTTTTTAGTAATTAGATTAATATCTTATATACTGTAAATATAATAGAAGTTCGGTTGCTATTATAAACATATGCTCTTTCTAAATATTCTTTTAACTAGGTTCGTTTTTGTTTCTATTGTTTATATGAGCACGCAACTAGGCAGTTGTCTGCATTCGGTTTGTTCGTCAAAGACAATAGTGTTACATTAAACTACATGCTACTTGTTTTACCATTTGTTTTAAAGCTGGTGAAATTAACAATTTAGCTACTTAACTATAGTACTATGAAACTTGGTTACGAAATTTTTATTGCATGTTTCTTGAATAACTATTATCTTAATTAATTCTAGCAATTAGAAGCATTAAATCCTAGCTGCCTTAATATAGTCCTATAATAAATTTTCTTCATTCCCTTCACGAGGCATATTCTTCAGTGTGTTTATAACTATTATTACATTATTCTCTACCCGAATTTTGTATTATCAAGTTTTAAAACAATTAAAACAATGATTTCTTTAAAAATGGTCTTATATCATCCGCATACATACGCACATTATGCCAAATTACAAACACATTTTAGAGCAAGACATACAGGCTTTTTTTTTTTTTTTGTATCAGCTGCTGCTTTGTCATGCACTTTCCTTATTACATTACAGTGTAATTTTTTTTTTCAAACATTTCATTACGATCCTACATTATCAATTTATTTTTGTTACGGTTCATTGTTGTTTAATCTAAAATTCGCCTTCCTTTTTTGAATTTTTGAAGAGTATTCTAATTTCAATTGAAAAAAGGTTACAAGTTAATTTTTTTTTTTTTCCCAAACTAAAAAGAGAAAGAAAGAATCACACCATTGAAAATAGGAAAAAAATAACAATGAACAATGATTCCGCCAAATATTAAAAAGCCACGAAAATTTTTTTTTTTCAAAAAAATAAATAATATACTGCCACTAAATAAAACATAATATTCCTCAGCGAGGATAAAATGATCTGTTTCCCCAGTTTTTGAAAAAATCAATTTCTTATTTTCTCTACACAACGAATTAATTATATAATATCTTGTTTACACGAGAATTCTCATACAGTCCCTTCCCCCTTTCCCTTACGAACCCATTATCATCCTTCCTCTTTCCTCTCCTCCTCTTCTTTCCACTCTCCAATGGGTTCAACAAAATCTTTTCGGTATGAAGTTCTCGTGTATCCTCAAGCTCAACCGAATGCAATGACTTCCTCTAATTCGGTTTCTCAGCCTTCCTTGCAAACACAATATCAAAGGTTTACATGTGACAGGGAAAATATGCAGCAATATTGGATTCCTGAGGGTTTCTATCCCGTTCTAGTTCCTCGTGCTTGCTTACAGTCTAGCTTATCTGCTGCGAATAATGACAATACTCGGCAAATAATGACTACATCCGCTTCAGCCGGTAATGCTCAAATGTTATCTAATAGCCCTTCTAATGTTAATGTACCTTCAAGGCCGCTTCAACCAAGGACTGCCGCTGCTACCCCTAATATAATTATTGATGGTAGTGGTGTGATGACTTCACAACCCATAAAAAGACGTCGTCCTGCAAAAGACCAGATCATTGCTCCTAGGTTACCTCCAAGGTCATTAAATGCTCAAGCGCTCTATTACTTTCAAAAACGTAGGGAATTAATAGAAAATAGATCTTTTATCACTTCTACAAATGGTTCAAATGTTTCGCTGGGTGCTGTTCCTAATCATCCTTCAAAAACTATTGAACAAATGTGGCAAGAAGAACCAGACAATGTAAAAAGACATTACGATCGACTTGCTCTACGAATAAAAATTGAACAAGCTCTTTTATCAAGGGCACACAATAACAAAAAACGTTATCAACCATATAATATAGACCGAAATGTCACCTCTTTGGAAGGTTCTTCATCACGTGTTTCTCGTTCACGTCATTTGCAGAGTACAATGATGAACTCTATGAACATTACGAATAATAACAATTGCAGTTCTTTAAATAGAAGCTTTAATGTTTCATTAACAGAAAACCTTAACGATAATGCGTGTAATACCTTACCTCCTTCCTCACAAGGCTTTACACAAAGTCACGTGTTAACTTTGGATACATCCCCGGTTTCTTCCTGCCGGAGTGTTCGAAACAAGGATGCTAGTAACAGTGTAGGAAATGATTGCACATCTTCGTCCGAAAACGAAGAATCCGACGAAATTTTCGATTCCCACAACGATTTAATGAACGCCGACAATCCGTACGATTCTCCGATATCCTCGCCATCTTCCTCGCCAACTTCCTCGCCAAAAAACTCCGTAACCAAAACAAACGATAATGATATTGACAACGATAACGATAACTCAAACACGGATTGGATGACGCGTTCCGATGATACCTTTTTACAATAATAGCGACGCCAAATACGACGAAGACGACAACGAAGGCCTCGACTATTAAACGAATCACGTATTTTTGCACATCATTAAGATGAATCGCTCGTTCATCATCTTTTTTTTTTTCTTTTTTAAAATCCTAAGATTAACCGCCGAAATTTTATTCCTTTATTATAACGCGTCAAAACGAGAGTTACTTTAATCTAACAATAACATCACACGTCACGTCAAAAAAACAACGGAACTTCTTTTTTTTTTTTGAACAATAACAAAAAACATTCGAATTCATCTATGCCAAAATTCGGAATCCATATCAGGGTTTTTTTTTCGAAAAACCTCTTTTCAAGGGAATTAGAGAGCAAAGAATATTATTATGATTATTATTTTATTCTGCTGCCATTCCATACTCGTTAACAATAGTGCCGCAAATGAAAAACAAAAAACCTATCAACCTTCGATTATATTATATATATAATTTTCTTTGTAAATTTTTTTTTAGAACTTTTTTCGATATAATATATGTACATTTTTTTACAACAAGTAAAAAGTGTATACTTTTGTACATAATTTACAGCTATTTCCTTTTTTAAAGAAAAAAAAAACACAAAAAGAAATCACCTAATTCTCGTTTTTTCCTTACACAAAAAAAAAAAAACAAAAAAAAACAAAAAAAAAAAACTCTGCAATTTTTATTATCAAAAAAAAAAACAAGGTTCTCCCTGTGGGAGGGGGGAAAAGAAAAAAATAAATAATATAAAAACAAAAGAGAAGACGGGAGAGTAAATAATCTTAAAAACAAAAATTAAAAAC